TTTTTTTTTTTTTTTTTTTGTGGTACCAGGGATTGAACTCGGGACCTTGTGCTTTTGAGGCAGGTGACGGCACCACTGAGCTACTCAGCCCAGGAAGCGATGTCTTGATGTAGGGGAAGCACTAGTGGGCCAGGGATTCTGGAGCGAGTCTTGCCCCGGAGGGATGCAGATGGTGGTGGGTGGGAGTGACAAGCGGGGCTCTTCCTGGAGGACTGGGACAGAGGACCTTCGGACCACCAGGGTTAAACAGCTCAGGCTCTGGCTGTGGAATCCCAAGTCTGCTTCTCCTTGCTCTCAAAGTCACAACCTCTCTGGAATCTTTGATAATGACGGTAACACAAGTGAACCTAAAAGGACACTGGATTTAAACAGCACTGGGAAGCACATGGCCCAGTGAGTGCTTAACAAGTCAGATGTTGTAATCCATCTGTTTCAGCCTGTGGATCACTGAGGAGAGAGGGTCCGCGGGCAGGAGCTCCCTCTCCATGGCCCTGGGATGCCAGGCTGAAGCACCAGGGGAAGCTAGCCTGTGGTGGAGCCATGGTATCAGAGGAGGTGGTGCTGGCAGCTGCCCACTGCTTCATCGGGTGAGCCCTGCAGCCCTCTACCTTGTGTGCCTTGTCCCAGTCTGGTCACTCAGTACTGTTAATGCTGCCTCTGCACAGGCGCCAGACCCTGGAAGAGTGGAGCGTAGGGCTCGGGGCTGGATCAGAGGAATGGGGCCTGAAGCAACTCATTCTACACGGGGCCTACACACACCCAGAAGGGGGCTACGATGTGGCCCTCTTGTTGCTGGCCCAGCCTGTGACACTGGGCCCCAGCCTGCGACCGCTTTGCCTGCCCTATGCTGACCAGCACCTGCCTGATGGGGACCGTGGCTGGGTCCTGGGGTTGGCCCAAGAAGCAGGTATGTAGGACTGGGGCCACCAGCAGTCATCCCTCCAGCCTCGAGGCCACTAGGGCAGCCTGCTTTCTCCTTACCCTACAGGCATCAGCTCCCTGCAGGCAGTGCCTGTGACCCTCCTGGGGCCTGGGGCCTGTGGCCGGCTGTACACAGTCCCTGGGGGCGAAAGCATCCCCATTCTGCCAGAGATGGTGTGTACCAGTGTTGTGGGTGAGCTGCCCCACTGTGAGGTGAGCCTAGTTCCAAACTTAGCCAATATTCTTTCACTACCAGGCTTGCTTCCATGCCCGCCTCTCCCTAGAACTAGTCCTTTCTGCCAACTAGCCCCCAAACAGCCAGTGCTTCAGCCCCTTCTGCCCTCCCACAGCTGCCTCAGTGGAAGAAATAACCCACTGTCACTGACCTCTGACAGGGCCTATCAGGGGCACCGCTAGTGCGTGAGGTGAGGGGCACGTGGTTCCTGGCTGGGCTACAGAGCTTTGGGGATGCCTGCCAAGGCCGTGGAAGGCCCGCCGTCTTCACAGCACTGCCTGCCTATGAGGACTGGGTCAGCAGTTTAGACTGGCAGGTCTACTTTGCCGAGGAGCCGGAACCTGAGGAACAAGCATCAGGGCCTGATGTGGAGGCTGGGAGCTGCCCGGCCAATTCACGTGAGTGTCCCTGGGGCTTCCTACTGACCCGACCTGTTCCATTCTTCTGTATCAGTCTGGACAAAGTGCTGTTCTGACCCACCTGCAGTTGCCCTGTGTGGAGTGATGCAGTGGACAGACCCATGCAGATTCTAACTGTGGCTCTTTGGCCTTGTGCAAGTGGGACTATGGGTACAGAGACAGATTCTACTTTTTTTTTTTTTTTTTTTT